ATTATTTGTCTATTTGTTTTCCTGAGAAACTATTTTGTAGATAATAATATGTAAAACGATAACCATTGATAATTTCCTACCATTTTGTCTGTAATTTGCTAAGTCCCCCCTATTATTATGTTATCCTTCTTTTATTCTTTAAAATAAAAAAAAAAAGAAGTAACAGGCATCCTCAGTAAGTGATATATCAGAATCAAAACTTAACTCTGATTGTTTCCAAATATATATCATTTCCCATCTGTTTACTCTGAGGCCAGACTAATGCTTGCCCTGATGTGGATCATAATTCTGATCCCACTTCTTCCCCAAGTAGACCATTTGTCTCTGATGGTTGCCTCAAGCCAAATCGCAGCTTCAACCCCAAACAGGAATCCACCCACCTTGCCTCCTGCTCCTGGTTCCTAGGGTTTGAGTTACATCTTTCCTTGTGTCTAATGGCTTCTATTCCTATGAATCTGATTTCCTCCCAAGCTTGATACTTTATTTCCGTTTGTCTTCTGGGCTAGAAGTCAAACACTGAGAAAGAAAAGGGAGAGCCGAAAGAGCTTCCAGGGGGTGGGGAGTAGCTAACTCCGAACACTGAGGAGGAGGGTATGCCCTCCATCTTAGCCAGGGCGAGGCCTTAAGTACTGTGGGAGGGAGAGGAACTAAGCTGGAAGCAGATGGGCTCTCAGCAGGAGGGCCCTTATGGTCTTGACACCCCTGGAGAAATTTCTTATAGCACTGACTCCAAAACTTCTGCCCACCTCTGACAGCTTCATGCGTGTAGATCCTGGAGGCAGAATTGGTAGCTCTTCTCCAGAGCAGCAGGTGGTCCCTGGTCTCTGGCTGCAGCCCTAAGATCACACTTCAGTACACTGGACAGACTTGCCAGCGATTCACAAGCTCTGCTTTGCACAACTGGCTCCTTTTCCCCTGGTTACCAAGGTTACTGGCCACAGCCAGCATGCCCAAGAAAGAAAGGCATGTTCCTGGTTTCGGCTCAGAAGAGATAGTCCCCTTCCTCATCTCCTTATAGGAAAGTGTATGACAGACTTAGTAGCACTATGATATTGGGCAAGTTCTCTAATTCCAAAGCCTCAGTTTCTTTATTTCAAAACGGGATAGCAAGGATTATTTCAAATCATGCATTTGACCCAGAATCTAGTGTCGAATAGGTTTTCAAGAAATTCAGTGTAATATCTTTGGCTGAGCTCTGGGCTTTGGTTTCCTGATCTGGAAAAGTGGGCATATTAACAATTTAAAGTTCCTAACATTGTCACAAGAATTATAACAACCTAGTGATACAATATATGAATAGCACTTATACATGATTTCATAACTGTGTACAATATCGCACACCTCTCTAAATCAGGCAATTTTCAGTTAAGTTTTTAATCACCTATCTTTTCGGGGCCTTAATCTCAGTTATTCTTTGTGGCATTCTTCCATGTTCCTTGTATTGCTTTCCCAATTTAGTGTCTTGGGAGGTCTTTAGGTGTCTGATGTTGGCTAGGACATCTGGAGCAAGGCCTCTGTCTCCTGACCATGCCAGCTATGCTGGTGTGTTCTTTGTTCAAGCTGGCACACCCTGCAGGGGGTGCTTCTCTGAGACCCCCATACCTACTCTGGCATAGTGATCATCTGCGGTTTCCAGAGACCCCGACCTTGGTGTCCCCTGTTCTGAACCCTCTGTGGAAGTGGAGCCCAGGCTTCTTTCCTTCACCAAGAGTCTGTGATAGAATTTTGGCTTCCATTGTCTTTGCCTACTGTGTTATATGGCAAAGGGACTTTATAGATACAGTTAAAGTTAATGATCATCGGACCTTAAAATAGGGAGAGTGTTCTGGATTATGCAGGTGGATGTGATCAAGTCAGATGAGTCCTAAAAGGAAAGATTTTTCTCAGCCTGATAATAGGAGGGACTTGGAAAATGAGATAGCTATAGTGTGCTTTTGTTGGTCTGAAGATTCAGAAGTTGGGTATCAAGCAGAAAGAGAGCTCAGTCCTACAATCAAAAGGCACTAAATTTTACCAACAGCCTAATGAGCTTGGAGGCAGATTCTTTTCCAGAGCCTTCGGTTAATGGCTCAGCCCAGTGACACCTTGATTTCAGTCTTGGGAGGCTCTGAGCACAGCCTGGAGTTCTGACTCACAGAACTTTGAGATAATAAGTGGGTGTTGTTTTAAGCAGCTAAATTTGTGGTGATATGTGACAGCAAAAAAAAGAAAATTAATATAACATTCAAGAATCTCATTCCTTTTCTTAGTCTTGGAAATCTTCCCTTGTTAGGTCCAGAAGCTTCTGTTTCTCCAACGCTAAGCCCTTGGAGACAGGCAGTTTGATACTAAGTAAATTGTTTATGAAAACCTAGAAGCCATGGTCACAAGATGATTAAAGGCAAAGAGTTTCTGATTGTTTTTGTTTTTGATCCTGCGACCCCAAAAGCTTTAAGTTTAGGGGATGCAAAGATTTAGGTACCTTATGATGGGAGGAAGGATCAAATGTACAAATCTCAAAATGATAATTTCAATAAAAGTTCTTGCTACATATATAGGTACCTACCCTAGTGCTTGATACACACTAACTAATGTACTTTATATGTGAGGAATTTATTTTGCTTTTTTGGTTGTTTCCAGAACCTAAAACTGTGTTCACTTCTGCCTGTCCTGAACTTCAGGTGTCAAAACACTGTCTTCAATACAGTGATGGCAACGGCTCCCTAACTAGAGGAACTCAGTATGAAATTGATGACATTTAAGTTGCTCTATGGCATGGTGGCTCCACCTTGAAGAATTTGATCCTCTCATTCAGGAAGAGAAGAGATAGAGAAAAAATGCATATCCGGCTGTAGAAGAGTTTTGTTTCTGCATTCACAACATGTCAGATAGCCAGATGTTACCCTTCTTGTGCTATAGAACAGGATTCCACGGCTGGCATGGGCCACCTGTTCTAACAGAGCTTTCTTGGGGGACAAGTGTGCATATTATATAATGTCACCACTTAGGTTTTTTTCAGGTCCCTAAATCTGATATTACCAAAATGGCCTTCAGAGTGTAATTATGCATTCTAGTTCAACATGATTTGAGGTAGAAAAACCTCTCACGAAACTGCCACATATCTTCTTCCAACTCTGGGCCTCTACTCTGCTTCAAGTCTTTTCACTTTAGATAGAAATATATATTCATGTACCTCTATGTGTGAGGAGTAGTTTGGTCCCTGGAGACACAGAGATGAACAAGACAGACCTGGTGACTGACAAAGCAAGCTTATATTCTGTAAAGAAGAATTCATAATATAACTACACATTTTAAAATGATTTACAATGCAATGGCCCCCAGAATCTCTCCTGACAATAGAGACTTACCACTTAAATTATAAATTTAATTGCAGGCTCACTTAAAAGTGCTAACTGGCACCATGTCATGGAGTCGCTGAATGGTGACCCAGGATGAATGTGATTCAGAGATGACGTCAGACTTTCCTACCCTAAACCAGCAGATCTCCTTCAAAGTACACCAAAGTATTTCAAGCATACTCATCTCTGCTTATCCCTGGGGATGATATTCCACCCTACCTAGTCTCTACTCTCTGTCCTATGTCTAGGAATATCATATAAGAGGGTTGGATTTCTGCCAGCATCAAGGCCAGCTCCAGCAACTGGTAAGTTAGGTCAGGGCCAGAAAAGAGTAGAAGCAAAGTTACCTAGTCTGGCTCACTCAACTAGGTCAAACACCTTAGAATTCACAAAGCTGAGGACATACACTGTGGTGTGCTATGCAGTGGCCAGTGTGTGTATGTGAATATACCTGGGAAAGCAGGTACACACTTAGAGCGGTGTCATGCACAAGCCTGCTTCACTTTGGTTCAGTACTGATTCCTTATTCTTCAGTACCCCAATTGTTCTGAATCCAACTTACCATGTCCTATACACCTCATGCCCCTCACTCTGTGACTCAGAATTTAGACACAATTCAACCCGGCCCATCACTGGTTTTGTTTTGTTTTTTTTTCTAGCCCCATAAATGCTTAGTGAGGAGGCAAGTACTTTATTGAAGTACAGTTTGCAGGGTACACTTGCAAGCCACTAATATGGTAACACTCAAAGGACATCTTGGACCAGGAAGGCTCTGGGTGTGTTTTTGTGTTTTCACAAGCCTGTATACAACTATGGAAGGCATCTATTGGTGTATGACTGTCAGCAAATGTTTAGGAGGTGCATAACTGAATGTGCATATATTATGTGGGTATATGTTACACCCATGCTTATGAGAAAGCATGTATGCTTTGAGAATGGGGCCAGCATGCGCATGTGTAATTTTGTGTAAGTGTGTGTGTGTGTGTGTGTGTGTGTGTGTGTGTACTGCTAAATGGGGAGATCAGTGTGTTCTATACTCCCACATCCCTAGCTGGGCATCTACTGACCAATTCACTCTTGCCTCTCTGATATAGCAAACAGGAGGGCAGAGTTTCTGCAGGCAATCTTTCCTACAACTCTGGGTTCACTTGGAAGTGGGAGTCCTTGGGACAGGAATGGGGTCATTCTGGACCTGGGGGTCCCTCCTGGTCAGCTCTTTCCCCTCCATCCTTGGAAGTTCCCTCCCCAGGCTCACTGTCAATATCAGCCTCGACCAGGTCCTCGGATACTGGCCACTCTCGAGTCTGCCACTCGAGCCTTTCTATTCGGTAGGCAATCTTGAGTGCACTGGACTCCAGCTCGGCCAGCAGGCGAGCAAATTTGGTCTGCAGATCATCGAGCTGCTGGTCGAGGCCTCTCAGTCGGGACTCTGTGGCCTCCTGAAGAGCAATCTCAGCTGCCTCAGCATTCACATCCAGTTTGTTCATTTTGAGCAGGATCTCACGGCCCTTCTCCTCCATGACAGCCTGGGCTTGTGGATATTCACTGAGCACCTCTCGAAGGTCCTCTTTGCTCAAGCAAAACAGGTCTGAATAACCGAGGCTCTTGATATTGGCTGTGCGGCGGTTCCCAGACATGTTCCCTGTGGTCCAGGGGCAGACAGATGGGAGGACAGTTAGGCAAGGGGAGGTGGCATTTTGTGCCTGTATCAGGACCCTCGCCTCCATATTTGTGCTTCTATATCATTTTTTTCTGTCTAATTCTTTGGTGGTGTACTGGGGACTAATTCTTGGTGGTGTACTGGGGACTAGGCCCTATGCTGGACGGGTGTCAGTGACCTGCCTCAAAGATTTCACAAGAAGCCAGGCATTTAATGGGATAGTTATGTAACAGTACAGCTGATACATTTAGCCTCATGCATTGGGTGCTGTGGGAAGACAGGCAAAGAGCCCCTACTAAGCTGGAAGGGCAGGCAGGGAATTTAGTGAGGCTTGCAGGAAGGGATGGTTAAATTGGGTAGGAGGTAACTGGGGAAGAGGAGGAAGGTGTGGGAGGAAGGCAATTTAGCCAGAAGGAGGAGCAAGTGCAGAGAGATGAAGCAGAAGAGAACCAGGTAGATGCAGAAGACAGAAAAGAGCTCAGCATGGCTGAGGTGCAGGGCATGGGGGAGTGGAGAGAGGAGGGAGGAAGGTTACTTTGAATCTTGTAAACCACAGGAAGGAATTCAGATTTTATGCTGAGGGCAGTGGGAAACTACTGAAATGCTTTAAGCTGGGGAGTTACATGGTATCATTGCCCTTTTCTCAGCATTGGAGATTGAACCCAGGGCCTTTGCACTGAGCTACATCTGCCCCCCATCTTTTGTTGGGAGACGGAGTCTTGCTATGTCCCTCAATTGCTCAGACTGGGGTCAAACTTGTGATCTGCCTGCCTCAGCCTCTCAAAGTACCACCTGCATTTTAGAAAGACATTGGTAAGAGGCGGGTGGGAAAGGAGGCTAAATGCTGCCAAGTCTCAGAGAGAGCTCGCAGAACATTAGGAAATATCCATTTGTTGAACATTTGCTAGGTAGCAGGCACTGTGCTGCATGTCTCACGGATATAACTCACTTATCCTCACAAATAGCTGTGTGAGTTTTCAATATTATTCTTACTGGATACAAGAGGAAATTGAGGGCTAAAAAGAAAAGTGATTTGTTCAACGACAAGCTGAGAAAAACGGATGGCCTACAGGACTGGGAAATTGAGGAGGTCTCTGGAGGGCAGATGTGAGAAGTTCAGAACTCAGGCTAGAAGAGCAGGTCTAGGGCACATCCAGTCTCAGGCAGTGACGGGGCACCCTTTCACAGCCTCAGTTTCTTTATCTGTGATAGGGCGTAACAACTCCTACTATACAGGGCTGACGAGAGGAAAAAGTGAACTGCTGTACAAAGCCTGGCCCGGTCTGGTGTTGATGGCCAGTAAATGGGAATTTCTTCTCTTTTCTTTCCACTTGGCTGTGAGAAAGTCGTTCCTGGTACTGATTCCAAGAATGTGTACTTATCACCTATGTAACCTTGGGCAAGTTACCGAACTGCTCTGAGTTTCAACTTCCTTATCTTTAAACCAGGACAAGATTGGGACCTATCTTACAGAGTTGTGTGAGAATTTAATGAGTTGATACATTTGAGACTCTCAGAGCAGGGTGTGTAGTAAGTGTGGGGTGAATGTTAGTATTATTACTATCACCTCAGTCATTTTCTACTGGCGCATGGGTGCTTCAGTCAATACCCACAGAGCAGGGCTACTCTCTCTTCCAAGGACCCAGCTTGCTCACTGACTTTGGCTTAGCTTCTTTTCAGGGAATTTCATGTCCCACTTCTCTCCTAACCCCTGTAGTGACTCAGGTAAGGGTCAGGTTTCCTTTATCTCTGTGCTTTGATTCCTTGTCCCACTCTTGGTTCTGCTATCTCATTTCTCTTCAGCCCTGTCCCTGGCACAAATGCCAGGGTGCCTACCTTTGATGTTGATGATGCTGATCTCCCCGAAGTACAGCCCTGCCCCAAGCACAGCATACTGTGTGATACCGTCGTCTGCCACCACAGCCAGCTGACCCTCGCGGATAATGTACATCTCTCGGCCAATGTCCCCTTTGCGGCACACGTATTCACCAGGTGAGTAGGTCTGGGGCTGCAGCTTCAGCACCAGCTCCTCCAGCAGGCTTGCCTCGCAGTTCTGGAAGATCTGTACCCGTCTCAGAGTAGACAGATGCACTGACACAGCAACCTCCGCCCGAAGCCGCTCAGGCAAGTGTTGTAAGATGGCCACCTCATTGGTCATCTTCTTGTTGATCTGCAGATGCTGGTACCTGGGAGAAGGGACAGTGCCATTTTCTCACCAGCCCCCTACATGGCCATCTCCACCCTTTCTATGCGGGTTCAGTTCAGCCAAGAGCTGGCTGAACTGAGGTCTCAGAGGGGTCTACGAGGGGTACATGACAGTTGGCTATTCTCCTTTCTTGGTCAAAGACACACTTTGACCTCTTCTACCTCATGCAAATTGTGGAAGCCTCCACTGCTTGACACGGAATAACATACCTTTACCTCCTATCAGGCTCCACCCTGCCCCACAGTGGGTGCCTCACACCACTTACATTGATAGCTACTTTATCCCCTGGGCTTTCATCCTCTCAGGGAGACTTTGTTGAGGATCTTCAACCATGTGACAGTTCTTTTTGTTCAGAACACAGTATGCACTACCACGATACAGTCAGCCATTTTGTTGGCCATCCCTTGGGGTGCACTGGCCATCTCCACTCACTCCTTCCAGAGCCTTCTGAGACCTAACCAGGCATGGGCTCCTCCCATTCCCTCATTTCCATTTATCTTTTCCTTGCATGAGTTCCTCTTCCTATTGGTCTCTTTCCCACCCTCTCCCAGAAAGAAGTCCAGAATGTCTCACTGGAAGAAACCCCTTTCCAAGCTTTCCTACAGATCTAAGTATGAAGAGCACATTTTGACTGCCTTGGACCAGTGAGTACTGAGAATGAGGTTGCCTCCTTAAATCCTATCTGGCCTGATCTGGAACTTCTCCCTGGCCTGATCTGGAACCTGAGAATCTCACCAGTCAATGACGCGCCGCTCCAGTCTGCGGTTGACGTGTTGTAGCTTCATGTACTTCTTCACCAGCGCGTGATCTGGGTAGAAAGCTGCATCTGCCGTGTTCATGTTGTAAATGACAGAGCTCATGCTACCCATGATGGTGGCGAAGCCCATGACGGCCAGCAGGAAGTCACCCACCATGAAGAGGTACTCTTCCTCCTGGGCTGGCAGTGGTGTATCACCCACAGTAGTCAGGATCAGGGTGGAGAAATAAAAGCTGTAGAGGTACTGGCGCCGCAGGCGCTCAAAGCCAGGCCGTGTTGGGTCTGGGTATACCCAGGCGTCACGCCCAAAGCCCAGGTACCGGGACAGGGCAAAGTATAAGCAGCTGTTCCAATGGATGACGACAAATATGTAGAGCATCAGCTTGGTGATGCGAAAGGCATTCGGGTAAGCTGTGCGGGTCTCTGTGCGGTCGAAGGCCTCAAAAAGGCGGGGCACCCGAAGGAAGCGATTCAGCCTCAATGTGGGTATGTGGGGGCCTAGCTGCATGTAGACCAGGTCGGTGGGGATCAGGGAAGCCAGGTCCAACACAAAACCCCATGTGCGAATGTAGCGACTGGCGATTCTACCCTTGTCCACCACCAGGATGCCCTGTTCTAAGAATCCTAGGAGGAGGAAGGGAGGAGACAGTTTGGGATCAACCGTGGGTGAGGATGGACAGACCAGGGTAGGGCAGAGAGATAGACATAGAGTGGGTGGACATAAGCTACTCCAGAGTTTCTAGGGTGAGTTCAGTGATGTTGTCAAGCATAGGCAGAGGTAGGTGAAGGTGGAGGGGGACTCTTCCTTGATAACAAGAGATATTATTTAGGAAGGGAATGTGGGACAAAGGCTCTGTCCGACCTAGGGGCTCACTGACCTGTGTGGAAGTGCACCACGATGTCCAGTAGGTACAGCAGATCACTGGTATAGTCCAGTACAAACCAGGCCACCAAATAACCATGCTGTAAGTCTGGAAAGCAGGCTCTGTGGGGCCAGGATAGGAGTGCTTGACTTAGAATCACCCTCTGTGTGTAAGGCAGTCCTACCAGGCCCATTACTCTACCTTGGGCCCTTTATGGGTGTTGCCCTCCTTTGGGCACTGCCCAAGGGCCCACACCACTTCTGGGCCTCACTCTTTAGCCATTATCTCCAACCAAGTCCCCTTTCAGTGCCCCTGCCAAACCTGCACACGATGATGATGAGGTTATACATGACTGGGAAGACCATCGTGTTCAGCCACCAGTAGTAGTAATCCCCAGATGGATCTAGGACAGGCAGCTTCTTCCTGCAGGCAAAAAGGGAGATTTTGCTTCACCAATTCACCAGACAGGTTGTAATTTGGAGCACTAAGAGAAATGAGGTTCTAGGGAGTAAGGAGAACAGACCTGATACTGAGGACTAGGACTCCTCACCTGGTTGTGGAGGAGGCAGAGGGACTGGATTCTGTTGTCTTCACTTTGCTGTCCTGGCTCATGGTTCTTGGCCTGGTTTTGGTGCTTGAAGTATCTAGGGCCGCTCTGCTTGGGGAGGTGGGGGCTAGTGCTTGACTGCCTGGAAGAGGCTGCTCTTCGGCTACAGCTGTGACTTCTGTCTTTGGAGCTCTTAGCAACACAACCAGAACTAGCAGTTACTGAGCAGGTAGAGGCAGTGTAGTTCTGCCACCCTGCGCTATCTCCCGGGCATAGACTCACACCTGCCAGCTAAACACCATTAATGAGGTCCCTGGAGGGGTCAGAGGGAGCATGCCTCAGAAGGAAGTCTGGTCCTTGCTTCTGTCTTCTTTTTCCTCTCCTTTAACTCCAAGCTGAGCTACACAGGGGCCCTGTAGAGTGGGAGATCTGGGTTTCAGATGAGATTCGGCTCATTCAGGGTGGTTATAGCCATAGATCTGGGTTTCAATGTAGGTTCAAACATTCTGGTTTAGTTCATGCAGGTTCTCTGCTGGATCTCATTATTTATTTAACAGCTATTTGCTGAATGGCTCATCTGTGTCAGATGCTAAATTAGTGTCCAGGGACAAAGAGCAGGCCTCTCATATCAGATATGAGCTCTGTTTTCACCGTCTATACCCTTGTCATATCCTCCTGACCTCCTTCCTACTGGATGGTGTGATGGGGGCCATCTTATGGTGCTTTTGTCCTTATTCCTTTCCTATCACCTCTAGTGCTTAATGCCAACAACCATTCCATGCATTTTCTGGATCTTCAGCCTCTTCCAATGTTTCCCTTTTTGGGAATATGCATAAATCTTTTCTAGACCAAAATAAGAGTCCTATTAATTCTTCTTCAGCTTGATGTCCCTTTCATTACTATCATCTTTCTCAGTCAGCAAGTTAGAATCCTGCTGTGTTCCAGGACAAAACCTTGCTAAGTGTTGAAGACAAGAGGGATAGGACATTCTTCCTTCCCTCCAGAAGCTTACTGCCTGGCAGGAGATCTTAACAGTGTCTTTCTGTCCCTTTTATCTTATCCAGGCTACTTAGGTCAGACAGCACTCACACCCTTAATCCTAGTGCCCTTGATCCTAGCATTGCACCATGCATCAATGCCAGCATCAGGCACTCTAGATCCATCCACTTCTGAGAAAGCCCCACCTATGAGGCTTTTTGGGGACATCTACAAACAAGCCATAACAAGCCCTATCTGACATTTTCTCTGTATGTTCTTGAGGATCTAGAAACACTCTGATTGCCGTTCACAGAGCTTGCTCCACTCGTGGTCCATTCTATCTTGCCTTGATGACAACTTTTAGGTTGTAACTTCTAATGTGTAATTACCTGTTTACCGTATTTCCTCTACCAGGCTGTAAGTAAGCTTCCGGAGGGAAGGAAGCATGTCCCATTCCTCTTGTCTTTAATACTTAGTACAGTATTGGTCTGGTATGTAGCAAGATTATATCTGGTATGTAACAACATGGCATCTCCTCCTGGAAGTCCTTCCTGGGGCCCTTCTCCCGTCCTTCCTCTGTCTCTGTACACACAAATCCTGCTAAGTGCTGCTTCTAGATGGTTCTCCTACTACAGCACTTTTTACACTACGTTGCAATCATCTCTGTCTGGTTAAGGATCTGTGGTCCCGGAGGGCACAGACTCATTGTAATCGACCTGGACATCAGCCTGTTCTTGCAGGCGCTTAATCTTTGTCCCTTGACCGACTAAAGCAACACCCAAAGGGTCACGGAGCAACACAGAACAGAGGCGTGGCAGGACGCAGGGAGAGGTGGCTATTGCTGGGCACTAAGGTACAGTGCAATAGTATGCGCAGGTGCGGCAGAAATGAGCTTGGTTGTTTACAGTCAGCGCTCTCTAGGGTTCAGCTTTTCTGCAGGGCCTGCCCGCCTATTGACTCCCTCCCCGAGGCCTACGCTTTACGGCTAGCCACGCCCCCAAGCCCACTCTTCCACCCTGAACACGGCTCAGAACCCGGGGCCCCGCCCCTCTTTCCCTGGTTCTTCCATTCCTCTGGCTCTCCTAAGCCCCGCCCCTCGAGTTTTCCTTGCCTCTAAAAGTCTGATCCTTCCCTAGGTCCCGCCTTCTGCCCTCTGGTTCGACCTTTCCTCCCTAGGCTCCGCCCCAGCCCCGCGGGCCTCCGCCTCCCCAGAGGTCTGCCCCTATGATACGTCGGAGTCCCCCGGGGGGGCGGGGTCTACAGCTGCAATGGGCGGACCCTGGGAGAGAAGGCGGTACTTCTTCCTCCGAACGCCGCCGACCACCCCGCCCCTGCGCTCGGCCGTTGCCAGGAAACAAGCGTCGACGCTACGGCTTTGGCCTCGCCCAGCCAATCAGCTGTCACGCCATGGCCCAGTCCTGCGTCGCTGGGCGGTTACGTGTGGTGCGCGGGGGCGCGGGCTGCGTGTAGCGCGGGGCGGGGCGCGGCTGGAGCGCCTGAGGAGCGATGGCGGCGGCCTGAACTCACCTTAGCACATCCACGACGACAGGGCCCGGCCCGGGTTGGCGCTCTGTGAGTGAACCGTACGCGTGGGTCAGAGGGCCGGAGGGGCGCGTGAGGGATGAGGGCCCGGGGAGTGATGGCACCGGGTTTGGTGACTGCAGGTTGCGAGGGGACCGGGTGAGGAGCTGGCAGGGGCTGAGGGGCTGTGTCCAGGTGGGGCGCGGGATGAGAGGTCGGGGTAACGGGACGAGTCAGGAGCTGGTTAGGTGAACCCCTGGGGTGCTTTCTGAGGGGCCGGGCTGCAGGAACTCGTGTGCGCGGAACCCCGAGGGGCTGGGGCTGCAGAGGGCATGGGTGAGCCACAGTCCTGGGGCAGCGCGAGGGGCCAAGGCCTGTGCGGGGACAGTGAGGAGAGTGAAGGGCCGAGGCGGGAGCCCTGCGGGCGGCGGCGGGTGGACGCGGGAGTGGAAGGCAGGGCAGGCGAAGAGGGAGGACGGTGGTGAGCCGCGGCTAGAGGTGTGAGATTGGTCCTGGGCCTCTTCCAGTGGATTGTCCTGCTCAGTGAGAACCACAGTTTTAGACTCGGACAGCGTGGATAGAAGTGCTGTGCGCTTGCTTTGCCCCTCCAGTGGATTCTATAGATTTTGGAGGGAGAAGAAAAAAAGAAGGCGTCACGGGCAGTAGTAACTATGATAATGAAAAGTCATCTGGGGGCTCAGTCGTCGATAGAGTAGTCTTTGGGGCCCCAGTTTGTTCTGGATTGCAGACGTGAAGGTGAGGCCTTTTATGGGATTTTTTTTTTCCCCCCTCTTTAATTATGGCTGCTTGTGTTCTCTCTTCCTGGTTCTGAGCAGCAGTACAATAATCCATTATTGCTCCTTCCCTCTGGTTGGACTGACCTTATCTATATAGGACTGACTACTTTCAGTTGCTAATTCAGCTTTTCCTGGGAGTTGCATGACTAGCTGTAGATAGGCTTTCAAACAGAATGGTCTTGCTCTCCTTTTTTTAAAGTTAAATTAAAAAAAAAAACTATTGACGTAAATGTATGTACAATAACCTGCTCACATTTAAAATGGACACTTGTGAAGTCTTGATATATGTACACATTTGTGAACTACTGTCACTACCAAGATACCAAACATTTTTACCACCCTGAAAGTTTTCTCTTATTTCTTTGAAATTCATCCCTCCCTCTATACCCTGTAATTGTGATTACATTATTAGTATTTTACAAGCCCCCTTCTTCCCACCAACCTATACATGAAAACTTCAGAAAGTTGGATTCTACTCAGTGATAATGGCCACTTTCCTACCCTTAAATTTTCCTCTCTGCTGACATTGTCATGGAACTAAGACATCTTGACTCTTCCTCAACAGTTAGGTCTTCCCAAAGACCATTCCTTGAGAATTCCGGGCAGCCACAACCTCCATGATATTCCAGAGTCTCAGCCGCAGAACTAACTGTTCTAGTCTATGATATATTTTCATTGCTTCTCTCTGGAGACCAAACAGGTCTTCATACTGGTGGAACGTTTGGCAGCCTGCTAGGACTCAATAGCACATACCTGGAAGTAGAGTTTAGAATAATGGTTCTTAAACACTGGGCCAAGGACCATGATATTTTCCATCCATATAAGGTGGAAAGAAAGAGAGACAGCAGAGTGAGTTTTCTGTAAAGCTAAATTTACTTTGAGATTATCTTTCCTATGCTGTTGATGTTAAAGTACTCTTTCACTAATGAAATAACAATGACAGTAGATGGTGACTTTTTAAAAAATGGTTTTATTTGTCAAAATAGAAAGTGAAAACCCTATTTTTAATTTTTAACTTTCAAAAAATTACTTCTGTTGGTTCATGAAATCCTGAAATTAGGCTGATGGTGGTATGATTGTTGTTTTATATGAGGTGTGCATTTACATGGTAATTCTGTATAACTTCTAATATCTGAACAGTATTCATGCTTTGCTAGTAGTTTTTTTTGCTATAAAATCAAAATTTCATGCTTTGCAAAGCAATCTCAAATTTTACTGGATTTACGTAGGTATATTGTGAGGTAGGCCAGGGGAGGAATTCTTATAGTTGAGGAATCAAATTCAGACGCTGGTGGTCATAGGGATAGAGTGACAAAACTGGACTCAAAACTTGATCTCCTGAGAGTGAGAGTGACTTTGGAAAGATTTGTAACAGGGTAAAGGTCATATGGGGCAAAGGGCGTGGGTGTATAGGAAATGTGATGATGTGGAGGACCTTATACTCAGCAAAAAGTGTTTTTTATAATTTGTTATTGTTCTCTTTTCAAATGAGATTAAGGAGACTTTGAAGGTGGCATAGAGATGAGGATTATGTTTAATACTATGTCCGTGACATGGTAATAGGTATCTATGTTGCCTGGGTCACATGATAATGATAAGGATGAGTTAAATCACATGCTAGAGGATCCTTAGGGATTGTCTAAATTCTTGGTGGTACTGGAGAAAGCGCTGAAAAGTGTATTGTTTGCTATACCAAATCTTTTGTTGAAATAGCAGTACATTAATTGTAATGGATTTTGACTTATGCCTTATAGTTGACTGGTAGGTCTGAGAGAATGAATCGTAGATGAGGCTGATACAGAGTTAGAAACATGTTTGGAATCTGGTGTGTAGCCATTTATTCCTTATCTGCTATGTGCCAAGCAGTCTGATAAATGCTGGGAGAACAGACTCATTCATTCATATACAGTATTCATGCATTTACACACTTAGAAAATACTACTTGAGAATATAGTTTGTTCTCATTGCTCACATTTTATAGAAAACAATGAATAAGCCTGGTCCTATGACATCTCACAGAGTTCTTAGTCTTGCTGTGAGAGACAAATGCATGAAAAGGTAGTTTCAATTTAGAGAGAAAATTTAAAATATAAAAATATGTCATAATGAGGTGATTGCTTTCCTGTATCTAGTCTCTGTATGTAACCAGTGTTCTGTATCTCCACAGGTATCTTGAAATTAGCATGTCTAATACAGAATTTATTGTCTTTGCCTGAAAGACTTTTTGCACTGTATGTCAGATTTCAATTCAGGCAAAATTTCAGTGTCATTTTCCATACTTTCCGCTCCTTCACCAAAAGAAGTGAATTCAGTGACTAAAATCTTAATACATTTCTGTTATTTTCTTTATGCCCATTGTCAAATCTTCACTGTTAAAGCTTTAATTTAGCTCATCCTCATTTATTATCTGATTTTTACACAGTCTGTGGCCTTAAAATTTGCTATTTTCTAGTTCATCCCTAGAGTGACCTTTCTAAAAATACAAATCTGATCATAGAACTCATCTGCTGAAAAACTTTGGCTCTTTCTGTGTTGTAGGACAACATCCAAATTCATTAATATGGCCTCATTTGGCCTCAAATCACTTCCAGCCTTGTCTCCTGCCACTCCCTACTCTGAGTCCTAGCTTGAATTAATTGTTCACAGTTCCCTGACAAACATGTTACTTTTTTGAGCCTTGAAATCTTTGCAGTAGCTGGCTCCTCTACTAGGAATGCCTTTTCTTCCCTGCTCAGTGAGCTTTCCTTATCTTTTATGGTCAGTTTCACTTTCTGTTTGACATCTTTGTCACCCTAAACAGAGGTGGAGATAACCTGAGGATTCACTGTTGTAAGGGGCATCCCTGTGTGATAAAGATTCACTCTGTGAATGATAAGGCTCTGCTGGAGTTACATGAGGAGATCCCTATAAGAAGCAGGGTGATATTAGGGGAGGAGAGGAAAGATGAGCTGTGGCCTCCTGATTTATTTGAGGTATGGAAAAGCTGGGAGGATATGTGTGAGCTAAGCTCTAGATTACTAGGTTCCTATGAAGTGGATGTTCTCCTGTTTCATTTTTCCTTTTGTATATTTATGAGGCTTAATTAAGTTTTTCTGTTTTCAATAAACGGCATAACAAGCCATTTGTACCTCTTATGCCTTAATCTTCTTGCCTTGGAAGAACCATTGTAGACAGAAATACACTTGTAAGACTCCACTGATCTGTTCTTGGAAGTTCATTTTGGTCTGTCCCTGATTGATACAGACATTGCAGGGATGTCCCTGCTGCCAGCTTCCTCCTTTTTTTGCCTCTTCCAGGGCAAAGGTTCACAAGTGAGGTTGACCCACTTACTGCCCTGTGTCTGCTATTCCAGGTTGGTTGACATTTTTTGCTGTGTGTGCTCATAAAGCTATATTTTGGACCCTAAGGTGAGTCTCACCTCAGCAGTTTGTGGGTCTGAATAAGCAGGTCCTTCTTCCCCTTGTTACTGTGGCTGAGCCTGTGGGAAAATCTGGAAAATGAGGTGAGTCTACCCATTTTCTGCCCTTTGCTGTGTGAGGAAAAGATATCTTTAGAGGCTGCTGATACTGCACTCTTCTTTGTGTTGTTCTAAACTTTGCTGGAAATCTTAAGTAGATGACAGGAACACCAACCTATGGCCTCTTACATTTTTTTCAGTGTGTAAGCAGGGCCTAGATTAAATGTTGGGTTGAATTGTGAGATGGTGATTTCCATGTGGCTCTTCTCTTTGGGATCTCTCAAAAGTGATGGGGAGGCAATGAGGAAAGATTCTACAGGCTAGTCTTTCTTGGGTCTGTGAGCAGTGATCTTTGATGATTAAGTAGTGGAGCAGTGTTGGGCACCCCAGAAAGTGCTACAAGGTAGGAGAAGTTTGATAATCTTGGTAATTAAATTTCAGAAGCTAGATGCAGTTTAGTTTTGGACATTTTATTTTGGACTAAAGGCTTTATTTTGCTGAGACTGGAAGCTTGGCTCTTCTTGAGTTTTCTGGGATA